ATTCTGGGCATAGACAAGACTTTCCTCAGCCTATGCACACACAGTTCCTTCTCTGCTTTATCTGGTGTGTTTAGTATTCCTCAGCCACCTCAGACCTTCAAAGTCCAGGTACTCCAGAAATAGGAGGTATTGTGTGCCATTTCTGCTCACTCACTTGGACCAAAGTCTTTCTTTATATTTTTCCCCCTAGCTCTTTGTTTACATTGATGGTAAATTCACATTGATGGAAACAACTTTAAAGTCCAAGACTTCATTCTCTGCCTAATCAAACTGATGTGGTTCATCTTACCTTCACATTTATCCATCTACATGCTCAATTGCTTGGTAATTTACAGTAGTTAATGAATGTTCAGTGGGAGAATGAATGAACAAATAAATGAGCAGAAAATCAAATATTTGAGCAACACTTATACTCATGGAGGTTCAAAGAGCATAAGTCAAGGAAGGGAAAAAACCATACCATCTTCAAGGGCAGGATGAAAAGCAATATCTTCACCATCTCACCCTCTGTGTAGATAATGGTGGATCCTGGGGTGGCCAGAGAGTCATCATTTCTGACAAGATCTCAACCTTAAGGTTCCACAGGGAGCACCCCTTAAATAACAAGGCTTTAGTTGACTGTCCTATGCATGTGCTTCTTGCTAATAACAGATGCATGAGAGAATTCCAACAGCTCATACTAACACAATGTTCTCTGAATTTCAAAAACACTGCAGTTTCGACTGATGCAAATAGGGAAGACCCCCCTCCCAACTGGTATGATAGAAGAATGAACCATTTATGTAATGTTCCAAGCTGTGAAACTCATTGCTAAGGCTCTAGTTTATTAAGGAATCTGCTTCAATGACAATTCTAATACATTGTTTACCTCCATTGTTATTTTAGATAGTCATAATCACTCTCACTTCCCAATGTGCTACTCAACTGCTCACGTTTAAGTATCTATCACTTGTCTCTCAGAGTTACATACATCATTTACTTCCTCAGAATCCCTCACTCCTATTAATTTTTTCCCTGGGCTACACTCCTATTATTTTTTTATTGAATTGCTATTAACCTTAAACAGGGGCAATTGCTTCTTTTCTTTGGCTATCTTATTCATTTTCTTTTAATTTCTTTAGGTTCTCTGTTCAGCATTCACATATAATTCTGACAGTTGTGAAAAGAAAGTGACAGAAAACACACATAGCAGTGCTAAGATTTGTGAGGAACTATTTCATTAACCCTCTAAAGGATGGTGATATTCTACATTTTAGCTTACTGTGCATAGGAAAACAAGTCCTCCAAGACCACCCATGAAGAAGCTAACACTACCGAGATATGAGAATAGGGGCTTCCTAATATTTCTCCTTAAAAGATAAGCCAAAGAGATGAGAAATAGGATGACAAAGACAGTGATTACATTTGCACAGGCATCCAACTGAGACCATATAGGGAGTAAAACATGTGAGAACTCCTAGAAGGTGGCTCTTTCCAGAGTTGGCAAATACATAGCAAAGGTAGTGAAGGATTCAATAATCTCCCAGGAATTCCTTGAGGGTAAAGTCTAAGGCCTAAAGAGGCAAACGAGACTCTGCTCTGATTTCTGCACACATGTGCAAACTGGGACCTTGACCTGGCTTTACACACACCTTTGCCTTCATCCTTGACAAAGCATTTGTGTTGGTTTAGGTACAGCTGGTATGTTTACTCCCTCCATTGCATACAGATCTGAAATAACTTTCCTTTGTTGATCTGCTTCATACTTCATATGAATCAAAGGTAGATTCATACTTTCTTGAAGATACTCTCTGAAAACCACTAATTTGCAATGCTTTCTCCAAGGACCTTGGGGAACATCAACTACTTCTTCCTTTCTTTGTTAGCATCTTTCATATGTAATTACCTGAGTTCTTACAACATTGTATATGTCTGTTTTGGGATTTTATTTCTGTTAGTATTTCTAGAAACTTGACATTCATTCATTGCTCACTGAATGCCCATGAATGAATGTAATAAATGTGTGTAAAAATTACCATTATTACTAATCACTAATTTGAGATTACCTTTTGAATTTAGGATTCCTTATTTTCATTTCCCTCAAGGTGGCTTCTTGAAAGCATGGGTCCCCAAGGGCCTCACCAGTAGGCCCTCACAGATCACAGCAGGACTGCAACCTTATTTTAACTGTTCTCTGTACTCAGTCTTCCCCGGTGGCCAATCCTATGCATAATTTTGAAGATAACCTTCCCTGGATATTTATTCCTATCTAAAATGGTATAGCAATCCTTGTTGCCTGTTTGATCAAATATTAACTTAATATTTCATTGCAAGCTCCTCCACAAACACTGTTAATACACGCATTGCTGTGAGTTGAGGTATGAGGTGTTTTCCTCAATGAACAGGTTGCTTACACTGAGAAACCCCTCCGTACTGATGGCCCTACAGCTTTCATCTTGCACTCAGTTCCTGATCAGATCTCCTAATATTATGTTTTATTTAGAAAGGACTGCAGCTTTTAGAACTGTTTCCTTATATACATCTCCATGTGAATTTGTTTTATTTCCCTCTCTTCCATAGTGTCTCAAGGGTTAGTTAGGAAAAGAGTGTAAACTTTTTTCTGTACCTCTTCCCTCTCTTATTTTGCACTTTGCCAGAATCAACATATATACTTTTTGTATTTCTTTCTTCATTGTGCACTTTGCTAGGTAAATGTATATACCTTTTTGCATTTCTTCCCTCTCTCATTTTACACTTGATTATTGACAAATGTTCTGCCCACATTTTGTTACTTTATGTACACAGGGCACCATGTAACTTCTGTATAAAGGCCTTCCTTACTCTCTGTGTTACCTTCTAATTGTTTCATTTATGTAAGTGTCAATCTATAGGTTGTAAAACTTCACAGCAGAAATGGATTTCTATATGGAAAAATCATTGGAATGTAGTGGGAATGTACTGACTGATATAGGAGTCAGAAAATTCAGGTCTCAGTCCTGCCCCATGAATAATTTGCTGGAAATTATCTTCTATGACCATCGTTTTCTCCATCTATGAAACAGAAAATTAAAACATGGATGTTGTGAGAATTAAAGGAGTTATAGTGTGTGGGAATATTCTGTGAATTAAAAAACATTTTTAAAGAATTTATTTATTCATTTTTAGAGGGGAAGGGAGGGAGACAGAAAGGGAGAGAAACATCAATGTGTAGTTGCCTTTCGTGTGCCCCCTACTGGGCACCTGGCCTGTAACCCAGGCATATGCCCTGACTGGGAATCCACCCAGAGACCCCTTGCTTTGCAGGCTGGCACTCAATCCACTGAGCCACACCAGCCAGGACCTTTTAAATTAAAAAAAAAAAAAGATGTTCTGTGAATTTTAATATGCTAATATAAGTAAGTATTCTTATTAAAGGTTCACATTTCTTTTGTGGGTAGGACCTGCTGTGCACAGAGCAGATTGTCAGGAAAGGTTCCCCTAGAGACTTGGTCAAATTTGGTGGGTCATGTTTCCTAGCTTATAAAGTCTTAGCTGCAAAATCCCATTCCTCAGATTGTTTTGTGTTTCTCTTTAGGATAGAACTTCTTACCTTGCGATGTAATTTCTGGCAGTGTTTTTCAATGTTTTTAACCTGCTCATCAAACATGCCCTCTTGCAGTCCTAAATCTGCTTTACCAGTATCCGCTGTGCCACACCTATGTCCCTGTTATGCCTGGAGCCCTCTTTATTCCCCATCGTGCCCACACTCAGTTCCAATGAGCGAGCTCTGCTTCCCCTCTGCTGGTTCCGAGGAGAAACACACTTGCTGGCCTGGCCCCAAACAGATGCCTACAGCTGCCCTTACTCCATTGATCCTCCAGCCAAACTCCTACCTGCCAAGTGCTGCTGGGTGCTGCCCCCATCCACAGCCTGTTACTGCTGTGGCCACAGTCCTCTTGGTAGCCCGTTAATTCCCGGTCGCTATCAGGTCCTTCCTGCCAGCGGCATACTCCCAGCCTTTCAGCAACTTTTCCCCCATAAACCCCACCCATGGGAGACCCCCTGCAGCAGCACCTTTCCACCAAATCCTGTAGCCCCACCCCAGCGACAATCCCCCCTCAATTCCAACCAGCTATTGCAACCCCAAACCCCAGTCTTCCTGCATCTTTGTTCCGGCGGTACCCTCCTCCCTCCCAGCCAGCCCAGCGACACCCTCTCCAGCTCGCTAACACCTAGGACCACCGTTCCTGTGTCCTAAGGTGCAGGTGTGTTCACTCGATGGGAGGCCTTTGAAAGTGAGCATTTTCTCCTAGCCTCTGTATTCTACTAGATCTCAGCCCCAAACCCCGGTCTCACTCCCCGACTTCCGGGGGTGGGGTGGAGGCGGGCATGGCATGGCCTGGCAACATGGGGGAGAAAGGCCACAGTCTATGTCTGTGCACCCCAAAAAAGCTTGAACGCTAGGACTTGCATTTTTGGCTCCCCCAAACTTGGCCACCCGGGACCCCGCCTTGCGTTTCCTCCTGCCTAGCGCTCCCATCTTTCGGCCGCTGGATGGAGGACAGGGTCACCTCCAGGACTAGGCGGGGGCTCTCCCCCTCACACTCGGATTACCCAGCAGAGTGTGAACATGGCTTTTTAGGGCTCCGAGGTCTGCGCAGGAGACCAGCTTGCCTGCTGGGTGTAGTGGTGGGGATTCTGTTGAAGACCTGTAGTCATCCAGGGTCCTTGTCGTCTCCAGGGCGCGGTGCAATGGAGTCTCTTATCCTAGCCTCTCCTGAGAAACACACAACTCTGGCTGTTGTGTGTACTGCTGCGCAGATGTGTGGGTGTCTGAGCGCACAGATGTGTGGGCACGTACGTGTGTGTGCGAGTACGCCTGACTGTGTGCTTGTGTGTGCGTGTGCAGATGTATGTGTGTGCAGATATGTTTGTGTGTGCCAGAGCGCGTTTGTGTGTGCGCGCGCGCATCCCCGCCCCGGCCTGGCGCCAGCGGACAGGAGGGAGACAGGAAGGAGGAGTTATGTAGATCACGGATGAACCGTTCCGTGGGGACGCGAGCCTCTGCGGCCCTTCCGCAGGAGCCCGGCCCGAGGCAGCAGAGCAGACTGCAGGCGGGGCAGACTTGCCGGTGGGACGCTAAACGGGGTCGGGAGGAGCACTGAGCGACCGCGGTGACCACAGGCTGCTGCTGACCTGACTGCGCTGGTCTGGCTGCTGAGCACGGCCCAGAGACCGGTAGACCTGCGGGCTGCTTTCCGCCAGGACTTTGGAAAGGAAGCAGGAGGGAGGGAGGGGTCGGCGCCGGGAACTCTTGAGTTCACTGAAGCCCAGTCCACTATGATCCTACTCGCCCTTGGCTCTGGAAGACGGCTGGATTTCGTGCATCACCCGGGGGCGATTTTTTTGCAAACCTTGCTTTGGATTTTGTGTGCTGCCGTCTGCGGAACGGAGCAGTATTTCAATGTGGAGGTAAGGGTACCATGCTGGCCATCTTCCCCTGGCTGGGCCGCCCCAGACACGCTTGATTCTACCAGGACCGGGCTGCCCAGGGCAGCCGGGGTCTGCACAGTGCCTTCTCCAGCCAGATCGAGTTGCGTTTCTCCATCTCGTTCATTGGTTCGTGCAGACTAGACCAAGTCGGTTATCGCCGTGGCACAAAGGATGCTTCGTGCTCGGCCACAGCGGTGCGTCTGCTGCCACGGCTGCGAGAGGCCAGCGTGGGGCTCAGGGAAGCAGCTGAAGATTAGGGTGAAATAAGGACCCAGGACTGGCTGTCTAGCACCCTTGCTGCGTGGGGCATTGTTCCAGGAACCTTACTCCCATTCTGTGCCTAACAAAGGAGGTTAAAACCAGAATCTGGAAGGCGCGGGGGTGGGGTGGGGGGGTGGGGATGATACTTGCTGTGTTTGATCTCACGCTGCTTTGTGACCCAGCACTTGACCAGTCTTTTTCTCATTTAGATCTAAGTTAATGCAGGGGTACAGGATCTGGCGACACAAAGTACGTGGAATCAGCTCCTGTTAAGTGTCCTCCCCTCCCCCTCGAATATCAAGGCGGCCCAATGTGATAGTTCTGAGGTGTGTTTTTAATATGATGTCACACTATTGTGGCAAAACGGGGAGGTTTTATACTGTCATTGGCTTTGCTTTGATAGCTTTGGAAACAGACACAAACTGGAAAGGAACTTAGGGGTAAGGACTTGCCAGACCTCTGCAGAAGTGACCCTGCTGTCATCAACTCTGCACCAAAGGTAGTGAGGAGCCTGTGTCCATTTGGGCTCTGACCCAGGGTTATCACACACGGTGGAGAAGGCAGGAAGAGGGTCTTGTAAATAAAATACTCCTTTTCATTAGGCCTCTGTCTTCTGACATCTCAGAAAAATTAGGGGTAAGTCTGAAGAATTGTTGGATTTTTTTTATCTTGAATTGTTGATCCTTCAAAGCTCACTGTCATTTTGTTGAGAGTGTGTTTGCAAAATTGCAGAACTTGTTGCAGTATGTGGATGGGCTTCACTTCATGGAACATATTTACATATGAAGTGTGCCTAAGTGCCATGTGAAAGGGCACATGCTGATATTATTTCTCTGTGTTTACAGAAATATTTGTCAGGGTTGCATGTCATAAGTGTGGGTTGGTAGAGAAACAAAGTATTTGAAAAAGTAACAACCATTATGGAATGACTTAAAGAAATTAACAGATGTTAAGAATGACTATATTATGCAAAAACCCCAGTTTGAAAACCAAAGTTGTTTAACCCTTTGAAAAATACCACTTTATTTTTCTGGATAGGAAAAGAGATGGAAAGAGGATGAATGTCCACACTGTTCTTGAGAGCAAATTCAAACTTATGGAATTACATTACACAGCACAGATGGATGTTTGTATCTAATACTTAAGTCAAGAGATAATTCAGTGTTGAAATGAAGACATAATTAGTTCATAGACTGCAGGATGAAAGTGGCAGGCTATCATTTATAGTGTTATAAACAGGCAGTGCTCTTGATGATGGGGGTGAGGTGGGCACAAGGAAGTGCTAGGTTTTCTCTTGCTTGCCGTGGCCTGGGAGGCCTGCCTGCTTGGAAAAGGCTTAGATTTTTTTGCAGACATCCTTGGGGTAGCATCAATGCGTTCGGGCTGAATATACATTTGATTGTATTCCTTCATAGTTTGAATCACTTAATTCAATCAGATATTATTTGCAAGAAAAAGTTATGATTTTACTCCCAGAATTTTACTTTTAAATGTCCATGATAGTTTCCTTTTTAAAAGATATATGTGAAAAGTGGCTTATGGAATGATTATCTTTTTCCCATTTTTATTGCATTTAAGTTATTTCACCCTTATTTATTGTATAATGCAAAGATTATGAAAGATGAGGCATGTGCCATCTGACACCTTAAAAAGCTTTTCTAATGGAGATTTTGTAATGATTTAGACTAGATTATATTTCGTTGTATTGCTCTTAAGCAGTTTTCTTTAAAGCACATGAGTATATCCTTATTTGGGTTAATATACTCCCTGATATACAATGGTAGCCTTTCTTTTTTCCAATCATAAGAGTAACTTTTGGTTAATTTACCATATAAAGATGTGAGATGACAGAATATTCTCTGACATGAATTTCTGACCAATTCATTTTTATTAGATGCTTCTTTTTGGTAGTAAACACTAATTGGAAACATAGGCCATTACATTTTTCTTCAGAAAAGGCACTTAGATTATGTTTCTTGTTCATGGTTGCAAGGCCTGCACTGGCAGTGCTTCATTTGACTGATTGTCAAGGACAGTCTTAAAATAATAAACAGTTATGGTAACTGTTTATAACAGTTATGGTAGCATGAAGCTCATATGATTGTGATTTTTTTGTAGCAAGCATGCTAAGTTGTTATAGTTGGAAGACAGCTCTGAGAGATGCTTTTTCTGCTGACTACAGAGATTACAATGCCTTATTTCTCACCCACCTTCACAATTGGTGGGACCCCTATCCTTTTTATCTCTGTAATTTAAGATTTAGAAAACTGTTCTGGAGGTGAGGAATTGGGTAGAAATATTCATGTTAACCTTTCCCTGTCTAAATTTTAAAAGTACAAATATTCAGAATTGTCCATCATCAGAGCAGAAGATATTTTTAATATGAAGATGAAATGCAGAGAGAGTACATTTTGTTATTTTGTTTGTTTTTGTTTTTAAGAAGCAAAGGGAACATAAACAGCTGAGGAAGGGTCAGACTCTGCAGTGGATGAAGTTCACCCCTACGTCACGTATTGCAGGCAGGCCCTTGTGAATACCGTATTTTCGGTGCACATCTGTTTAAAGGGTTTTACATGTCAGGGAGTGGGCCTTCCACGTGTAAGACTTAGTGGGTGCACAGGAGGACATTGTTGGTTGTGACTGCAAGGCAGGCTGCTGTCATTGGACAACTCTTGCATCACAGCCGGTCATTGGTCGGAGAGGATAGTGTGTTGGCAAAGAATCATGTTTCAAGCTCTAAAAATCATTTTGTCTGTAGAATAATTTTCTTGTGACAATTTTTATGATCCTGGGCTGGCTGGCTGGCTTGCTTTCCTTCTTTCTTTCTTATATACTGCAAACATTTTTGTGGTGAAATTTGAGACTATAGTTCATGATAGTAATAACTTCCAGCTTTAACTTTGATAGGTCGTTAAATGTTAAATAAATGAACCATGTATCTTTTGGTTTTTAAAACAATAGCACACTTTTTGTACTATTTGAAACAATAGTACACATTTTGTATTAGTGATAAAAATTATTTAACTGAATTTAATGGTAAAATAAGAATATAATTCTCTGAATGATGCACTTATCAAAGCATAAGAAGATGATTACATTTTGGACCAAAATCTTAATAAAGGGAAAATGATTTTATTCTTTTTAATAAAGAAAGAAGTGAGATTCTGGATTTCAAAATGATATTTTATGATAAGCACTTTGTCCTACATTTTCATTTTCATTTTTCTTGTTTTCTCTCTCTCTTTCTGTGTGTGTGTGTATATCTATCTATATCTATCTGTATATATATGATTAAGTATTTATTTACTTTTGTTTAGTTCATCTGAACCTACTTAAAAGGTCAATGTTTGCTGGAGTGGCTGTGTGCTGCATGTGTATTTGACAGTGAAGCATTCCAGAGAGAAAAATTTATATTTTGCAGATTTTAAAATATCATATGTTGAGACCACTTTTTTTCATATTTCTTGTTTCCTCCTTGTGCCTTTGATCAACATTATTTCAGTTACTTATGGAAGCATGGTTTTCCTGATTAGCCTCCTTGAGTAAGGGACACTGTGACTATATCTTATAGTTTATACTGGTCAATGACAGGGCCTGTGTGAGTGATTCATAAAGGTTTCTATGTCTTGCCAGACCCCAAGCTTTTCTAGTCACCCATAGTATGTGTTCAGATGCACATAGGGCCAAGAATGCTGACCAGGAGATCAGGAGGCTCCATGGTCTTCAGTGCCCAGCTTTTCCTGTATGATCCTTCTAAATCATTTGGCTGTTTAGGGTCTGGGCAGGATGCCCAGTTCAGGTTATTTGTGAAGCCTGTGCAGGCCAACAGATGCTAGAGAGGTAGGTTGTCTTCTTATCCCCATGAGAAGTCCACAGAGAAGAACTTGCCAAGCTCAACCTGTCTATTGTACAGCTGGGTTTTCTCTGTTAGTCTCCTCTCTCTGTCATGAAAGGGCAGAGTTGGCTTTAATAACACTGTTTTTAAAGTTTAAAAAAAAAACTTTTTAACTTTAGAGAGAGTGGAAGGGAGGGAGAGAGAGTAGGAGAGAAACATTGATATGAGAGAGAAATATTGATTGGTTTCTTTTTGTATGTGCCCCAACCAGGGACCAAACCTGCAGTACGGGCATGTGCCCTGACTGGGATTTGAACCCTCAAACGTTCAGTTTGTGGGACAATGACCAACCAACTGTGCCACACCAGCTTGGGCTTTTCTATTTCCTCTCTTCTCTCTGCCCCTTCCCTAATGCCCTCTCACCTCCCCTTTTCTTTTTTTCTTCTCTTTTCTTTTTTTCTCTTCTCTTTTCTTCTTTTTCTTTCTTTTTCCTTTTTTTTCCCCTTCTTTTGTCCTTCCTTCTTTTTCCCTGTTCTTTTTTATGTCTGGAGCCAGGTTGAAAGCAACAGATCTAAAGTTTCTATTTTTCCCTATTCATGCTATTTTAGGGTTATTAACTAGAAAATTTTAATGTTCAGTGGTATGGTTCTTTTCTCTGAAGTTGGCTTAATTGATTACTTTATGCAAATTTATTTCACTGCCTACTTTAAGTGTACCTGTTCAGAATAATTGGTAAATAACCAACTGCAATTATTTGGGGACCAAAAAAGAACCATTGAACATTTGAATCAATTGGTTAAATTTACTTGATGTTAGAAGAGAAATATTTTTTCATGATCCTTCAGAAACTTTCTGATCCTTCAGCATGTATTTCAAACTGAGA